ACGGAAACAAGGGGCCAGTGTGACACAGCGGGGCCTGATGGAACCAAGGATCCAATATGACACCACCACTGTGACACTGCAGGGCCCCATGGATCCAAGGGAACAGGGAGCAGGTCTGGTTGGCTTGGCCTGACTGGTCACACTGCCCTGGACACGTCGAGGATCTCTTCTCGTGTACTCCTGAAACCCTGGAGCTCTGAGCTGACTTTCAAATGGAAAAGAACTGCCCTTCTCATTCATGCATCCATGGCTAAAATGGGATTCCCCCTCCAAAATTCCCCATATCCAGGGATTGCTCCCACACAAAAGCTGCCATTACTAACAAGTCTGGCTGACCTTGTCTTCCTGAGAGCTGGGTCACACCTGCCTTCAAACACTGAGGCTCAGTGCTTTCCTTTCTTTGGAAAAGAACTGTCTCTCTTGCCCAGGTGACCATATCTGAATTTGGTATTTTTCCTCCAAAATTCCCTATATTCAAGGGTTTTTCCCAGACAAAAGCTGCCAGGACAGACAGGTCTGACTGGCCTTGGCTTCTGGTGGTTGCCTCTATTCTGCCCTGAAACACTGGGGCTCTGCCCTTTCCCTCCTGAGGGAAAAGAACCATCCTTCTTCTCCAGGTGCCCATGGCTGAAATTGGGATTTCACCTCCGCAAGTCCTATATCCAATGATTGCTCCTACACAGAAGCTGCCATTACAGACAGGTCTGGCTGGCCTTGGCCTCCTGACAGCTGGCTCTCACCTGCCTTCCAAACACAGGGGCTTCATGCTTTCCTTTCTATGGAGAAGAATTGGCCTTCTCCTCCAGGCTGAAATTGGGTGAAAATGAGATTTAACATTCAAAATTTCCAATATCCAAGGGTTGCTACCAGACAAACATGCCAGGACAGACAGACAGGCCTGACCTTGGCTTCTAGTGACTGCAGTTCATCAGCCCCTGAAATATTGGGGCTCCGTGGTTTCCTTCCTGTGGAGACCATGGTGACACTGTGGGGCCCCATGGAACCATGGAGACCATTGTGGCACTCTGGGGCCTTCTTAAATGAAGGGGCCATTGTGACACTGTGGGACCCCGTGGCACCAAGGCCATCACTGTGGCTCTGTTGGGCCGCATGGTCCCAAGGGCCAGTGTAGAGCAGCAGGGCTTTGTGGAACCAAGAGGCCATTGCTGCATTTCAGGGCCTCGTGGAACCAAAGGGCCGTTGTGATCCTGGGGGCACCATGGATCCATGGAGAGCATTGTGGAATTGCAAGGCCCCATGGAATCATGGAGACCATTGTGACACTGTGGGGCCCCAGGGAACCAAAGGGCCACTGTGACCCTGCAGGGCCTCATGGAAGCACAGGGCCATTGTGACACTGCAGAAGCAAGGAGAACATTGTGACCCTGCAGGGCCTCATGGAACCAAGGGGACATGGAACAGGTCTGGCTGGTTTGGCCTCCCAGGGGCCATGTTACAGGTCTGGATGATCTTGGAATGCTGAGGGCTGCCTCTCATCAGCACCAGGAGAGCTGGGGCTCTGTGCTTTCCTTCCTATGGAAAAGAAGCATCCGTCTTCCCAGGTGCCCTGCAGGATCACAATGGCCAAAATTGATACTCCCCCTAAAAAATTCCCAATATGCAAGGGTTCTCCCAGACAAAAGCTGCCAGGACAGAGAGCTCTGGCTGGCCTTGGCCTCTGGTGGTCAACTCTCATCTCAAGGAAGCCCTGAGGAATATCTTTTATTGCTGAGGAAAATCTCTTTATTGCTGAGGAAAGTATTTGAACAGGTTTGACTACTGGAACATCAATGAGTCTCTCATCCTCTGAAAAACTCAGATGCTCTCCGGATCATTTGTGTCTTTTTTTCCTCATTGTGTATTATGCATGAAATATTCTTTACAGTTACATAATTTTATTCTTCTCACTCTACCAGTGTTATCTGACACAAAACACCTCCACTACATATGGATCCAGGTCACCTGTAAAGGCAAACACAAGAAAGAATGCAGCAGGAATGATTTGTCTCTGCTCCCGTCTGTCCCATCTCCTCTGGAGCTGGAGGTGCAGCCCCAGCACTGGGCAGGGCTCAGGGCTCACAAGCTCAGCTCCCACCCAGAGAACTTGCAGACCCTGGGCTGCTCTTCTTGGCCCCTGCACGCTCAGCCAGGCTGAGATGGACACTGATGGTTTCTGGGCCAGGCTCTCTGAGCCCAGCCCAGCTCCCTGCAAGCTCTGCCAGCTGCCCTGGGCAGCTCTGGGCAGCACCAAGGGCCTCTCTGAGCCCAGCCCAGCCCAGCCGGCTCTGGCCCCACAGCTCTGCTCAGGCCAGGCTGCTCTGGGCACTGCCCCACGGCCTCAGCCCCTGGCAAGGGCACAGCAGCAGCTGCAGCTGCCACAGGACTCAGCCCCACCATGGGGGAAGGTGCCTGGCCAAGGGAAAGGAGGCTCCCTGGCTGCCCTGCTCTCCTCTGCAGGAGATGCTGAGAGCTCTGCAGCCCCTGCTGCCATCCCATCTGCCCAGGGCAGCACAAGAGCCCCGGCCTTGGGGCCCTCAAGAGCTGCTCCTGCTCCAGGCCCAGGGCCCATCCCAGAGCTGGGCCAGCCACAAAGCTGTGCCCATTTCTGCTCATTGCTGCTCTGATCAGGATGGATCCTCAGCACCTTGGAGGTTGGTGATGAATTTTACTTTTTCTGAGGCTTGTTCAGCCTTCAGCTCTTCAGTGTAGGAATTCAGTGCTGGAGGACTCATTAACATTTCAAAACAGTCTAACAAGACAAGCCCCTGGAAATAATTTCATTTAAGGTCTAGAAATTTTTGTGATTAATTAGACAGATTTCAGAATTGTATTTGAACTGAATCTACTACATTGAAAGCAATGCAAAGATACTATTTTTTCCTGTTTAGTTTTCTTTTCCTTTTTATACATTGATATCAGCAATTTCCAGCTGATATTGATCTTAGCACATCCTAGTGCAGTATGAATAGACATGAACATCAGGACCCTTTATGGCTGTCATTCAGTCAGACTTTGTCCTGACCCCAACCCCACCCTTTCCCTCATCCAACCCCTGGGGCCCTGAGCAGCCTTGTGTAAATCGGAGCTTCCTCCACTGCAGGCTGCACCTGCAGCTTTCATCTCCTTGACACCAATTCCCACCTGCTTTTTTGTAGAAGAAGCTGCCTGGGACACACAGGGGGTTTGTATATTCCATCCCCTCCTCACTGGCACTGCCAGGCTGGGATGAGGAGCCCCTCAGCCTTCCCTGCTCTGGGCTGGACAAGCCCTCAGCCTCTGCTCACAGCCCAGGGGCTCCAGCCCCACCTTGGAGTCCCTTCCCAGACCCTGCTCCAGCTGCCAGACATCTTTCCTGCCCTGGGGAACCCAACCCAGGCCCCAGTGACCTGGATAATCCCCGTCCTTGCTGTCCTGGTCACACAGCCCAGGGTGCTCCTGGCCTCCCTCGCTGCCAGGGCCCATGGCTGCCTCCTGCCCAGCTCCTGCCCACCAAGACTTTTCTGCCAGGGCCTGGTGGATGTGGGGAGGGCTGTGGATGTTGTGTACCAGAACGTTAGCCTTTGACACCATGTCCCACAGCATTCCCTGGAAAAGCTGAAGCCTGTGGCTTGGATTGTTTCATCCTTCCCTGGGTTAGGAACTGGCTGGACATCTGGGCCCAGAGAGTGGTGGGGACGGTGCCACATCCAGCGTGTGTCCAGTGGTGTCCCCTGGGGATGAGTGTGGGCCCAGTTTTGTTTAACATCTTTATTGATGATCTGCATGAGGGGCCTGAGTCCAGCATCAGCAAATTTGCAGATGGCACCAAGCTGGGTGTGAGTGTGGATCTGCTGGAGGGTAGGAGGGCTCTGCAGAGGGACCTGGACAGGCTGGATCCAGGGCCCAAATCCAGCAAGGTGAGGTTGAACAATGCTGCTGTGGCGCTCGATAAAGAAGGATGCAGGACACGTTTTATGATGCAAAAGGAAAGGATCAATCCCAGTTTATTTCACGCGTCCCCATTTACAGGGTTTTTTAAGAACATCCCCTGTCTATCCCCAATTGGTCAGTAACAAGGTGTTACCCAGTCTTCATTGGTCACTCAAATCCCCGGTGTGTACATGCAGCAAGAATTGTTTGTAAAAATGGTTTTCATTTTTCCATCTAATGGTGCAAAAAGAGTTTATACTGGTGCTAATGTTTATCGCAGTCGTAGAGTTCCTTTTCAGGGAAAGCATGTTGCTTTCCACAGTCTTGGAGCTCTTTCTAAAGAAAAGCAAGTTGTTTTTAACTGCTGCAGAACTCTGTTCTCACAGAACAAGAGCTATCAGCTTTCTCATGGCTTCTGCCAGGTCGAGTCAGGATTCAGTTTGTTGCCATTTGGCCTGCTGCTTCACCATCACAAAACAAGACTAAGTGCTGGGTCCTGCACTTTGGCCACAACAACCCCTGTAGTGCTACAGGCTGGGGACAGAGTGGCTGGAGAGCGGCCAGGCAGAAAGGGACCTGGGGCACTGATGGACAGCAGGCTGGACATGAGGCAGCAGTGTGCCCAGGTGGGCAAGAAGGCCAATGGCTCCTGGCCTGGATCAGGAATGGTGTGGCCAGAAGGAGCAGAGCTGCTCTGCCACCCCTAACCTGCCCCCAGCTCTGCACACAGACATTGCTGCTGCAGCTCCAGAGAAGGCAACAAAAGGGGGATCTCCCATGAAAAGTTTGCTGGGAGATCCTTTAGTTCACTGAGAGCACAGCTCCTCATTGACACCGTTTGGGGCCACAGCAGTGATGGAGAGAAACAAAAAACAAGAAGTGGCATAAACAATGGTCCTATTGTGTGGACAAGACTAATAAACTGAAACAAAAGTAAAAAAAAAAACCACAACCAAAAAAAATTAAAATTATCAAAGATGACTTTTATTATAAGTGACTTTCAGAAACTGGCCAGCAGTTTAGTGTTTCTGAAACCATCCAGTCATCAGTGCCCGCACTGCAGCATTGAGCTCCTGGTTCCTCAGGCTGTAGATGAAGGGGTTCAGGGCTGGAGGCACCACCGAGTACAGAATGGACAGTGACATATCCAGAGATGGGAAGGAGATGGACGGGGGCTTAAGGTAGGCAAATACTGCAGTGATGATAAACAGGGAGACCACGGCCAGGTGAGGGAGGCAGGTGGAAAAGGCTTTGTGCCGTCCCTGCTCAGAAGGAATCCTCAGCACAGCCCTGAAGATTTGCACATAGGAGAAGACAATAAACACAAAACAGCCAAATGCTAAAGAGGTAGTGAAAACAGAAACCCCAAGTTCCCTGAGTTTGGAGTGTGAGCAGGAGTGCTTGAGGATGTGTGGGATTTCACAGAAGAACTGGCCCAGGGCATTGGCTTTGCACAGGGGCAGGGAAAATGCATTGGCCGTGTGCAGCAGAGCATTGAGAAAGCCACTGGCCCAGGCAGCTGCTGCCATGTGGGCACAAGCTCTGCTGCCCAGGAGGGTCCCGTAGTGCAGGGGTTTGCAGATGGACATGTAGCAGTCGTAGCACATGACGGTCAGGAGGGTAAACTCTGCTGACAAAAAGAAAAGAAAGAAGAAAACCTGTGCAGCACATGCTGAGTAGGAGATGGTGCTGGTGTCCCAGAGGGAATTGTGCATGGCTTTGGGGACAGTGGTGCAGATGGAGCCCAGGTCAGCGAGGGCCAGGTTGAGCAGGAAGAAGAACATGGGCGTGTGCAGGTGGTGGCCGCAGGCTACGGCGCTGATGATGAGGCCGTTGCCCAGGAGGGCAGCCAGGGAGATGCCCAGCAAGAGGCAGAAGTGCAGGAGCTGCAGCTGCCGTGTGTCTGCCAATGCCAGCAGGAGGAAGATCCTGATGGAGCTGCTGTTGGACATTCCTTCACTCTGGCCATGGTGGACTGTTGAAACAAGACATTCACAAGCTCTTTGGGGTTATTTTAGGAATTTCCTCAAAACTACTTCTCTACCTATCGGGAAACTACACTCAACATTTTTATTCTTGAGCTTGGGTTTCTGCTCCTGAGTTACTGATTCATCTTCAGCATTGCTCTCAGCCTGAACCCCAGGGAAGCCCAGAGGGAAAACAGGGCTCCCTGTGTCCCAGGGCAGTCAGACCTGCTGGTCCCCACACAGGTGCCCTTTGCATATTTCACCTCCCTCTAATTCAGGGTGATCAAACATAAAACGAGCTTGAAAAATAAAGTGGAGTTTTTAAAGGCTCCAGCTTTAAAGTCGATTTCTCTAAGCCCTTCTCTCTTTCCCAGTGCAGCTGAACATGGAGGGATGCCAAGGGTTGCTCTGGCTCTCTGCTGCCCGGAGTTGTGCCTGCTGGGAGCTGTTTCTCTCTATCCAAGCCTTATCCCTGCCAGTGCTGCCAGAGCCCAGCCCAGCCCTGGGGGCTCAGCTCTGCCCTGCAGACCCCTCCCAGCACAGGGCACTGCCCAGGGGCATCTCCCTGGCAGCAGGGCCTTAAGGGCAGGCCAGACAAACAGAGATGCTGCAAGCCAAGGTGCTGCTGCTGCTGTGTGTAGGGAGAGGAGGCTGAGGAGGCACTTTCTGAGGGAGATCTGAGGCCCATCTGCTGATGCCCAGGCTGACAGTGCAGGAGGCTCAGGGACACAGCCAAAGCTGACAGCCCCTTTCCCTTCCCTTTAGGAGAAAGCTGAGAGCAGCCCTGGCCATGCAGCACCATCTCCAGAGCAGGAGGAATCTGCCCTGATGGGGGTGGCTCCTTGCACCTGGAACTTCTCCCCTGTAGCGTCCATGGGGAGCTGCCAGGCAGGCTGAGAGCTGCCCCTGGCAGGTGGCACATGCCCTGGGCTGGCCAAGAGCCCTGAGGGCTGCAGGAGCTGCTCTGCAGGACAGCCCTGGGCAGCCCTGGCTGCAGCCCCAGCTTCAGCCCCTGCAGCCGTCCCTGGCAGCAGGAGCCGTCCTGCCCTGTCCCTCTGACGGTGCCCAGGGCAGCCCCGCTCTGCAGCACATCCTCCTCCTCCTCCTCCTGCTCCTGCTCCTCCTGCTCCTCCTGTGCCACAGAGAAACTGGGAGAGTCCTCCTGACACATCCCCCAGGCTCTGGGGTGTGCTGGCTTCAGGAGATCCCTCCAGGAGCACAGGGGACATTGCCCTGCACCCACACACTCACCATGCACAGGGCTGTGAAGATCTTTCCCCAGGTGAAGTCTCAGCTCAATGTCTTCCCAATCCTGATTGCCTTCAGCCTGTCTCTGCCTGCCTCCTGTGCCCTCAGTGCCTGCAGGCAGAGCCCTCAGCCCTGCTGGGCTGGGAGAGGAGCTGGCCCTGGGAAGAGCTGTTCCTTTAAAGCTCTGCAGCACAGACACAGCACAAGGACTTTAATGAGCCTCTCGGGGATTTGGTGTTGTTTACATCAGACTCAGTCCCTGAGAGAGGGTTCAAAAAACTTCTCAAGAACTCAAACTTAAATTGAAACTCTGAAGTTTCTTGAAGTTTTAATGGGTCCCACTGAGGGACACGACTGAGAAAGTGTCCCCAGGTTCCAGTTAGAGCAGAACACTGGAGGCAGTGATGACAGCTGGGGACAAACAAGGCCAAGGTGTCTCTGGTGCTGAGCAAAGCTGGATGTGTTTGAGGAACGCCAACGGCCAAGGCCTGAGCCCCAGGGCCTGGCCAGGCAGATCCTGTCCCTCCCTCCTTGCTCAGGGCTCTTGCCGGGATGGGCACTGGCATGTGGGGATGTGCAATGCCAAGGGCAGGAGCATGGGGCGGCCCCTGCCAGGCTGCTGAGCAGGGACAAGGAGGCCATGAGGCCCCAGGCCTGCAAGGGTCACTTGTCTCCTGCTCCTGCCTCAGTGCTTTCCTTTTTATGGAAAAGAACCATCCCTCCTTCCCAGGCACCTTTGGTGGGAAAACAGGACTCCCATGCAACTAACCAATATGATTAAGCTGAAGCCATTGATTGTTTACATTATGCACTTATTTATGCATTCTAACTCTACTGCATACACTGATCACGCATCTCTTCATTGGTGCCTCTCTCTTGTCCTTGTGTTCTGCACTCACTTCTCTGGGTATGTGATTGGTTACAGTCCAGGTGGTTCACAGCCCTCTGTTATCTAGTTCTTGTGGTCTTGGCATTCTGTTTCTCAGCATTTTCTTTCTACATTTAGCACAGTTTTTGTCTTAGTAACCTTGGTGAATTCCAGAGGGCTCTGATAAGAAGAACTCCAAGCAATATGGCTGGTGCACAGTGTGGCCTAAGTTGTTCAGATACATTGCTACAACTCCCCCTTCTTCTTCTTGCACCAGCCAAACCCTTTTCACTGTATTTTCTACCAAGTGGGTCTCCAATTTCACTATGCATGGAATAGCTCAAAGCAATATAATAATAACTACTAGCAATAACAAAGCTCCCTTTAAGGTATCTTTCAACCATCCAGTTATTCCCCATCCCTCAAACCATTCATCCAAGCCCCAATCATTCAGAGTCAATTTCTTCATGTTGTCTTGTAGTTGTTTGAGTTTCCTGTGGATGGATGTAGACTGGCCAGAGAGATTCATACAACACATTCCTTCAAAATCCTCACACCTGTGCCCATGTGCTAACAGCAAAAAATCTATAGCAGCTCTATTTTGCAGTGTGCCATGTCTAATACTATCTACATCAGTGAGCATTTGATTTAAAATATCTGAACTTGTGTTCAGTGTGGGAATCCACAAAATCAGAGGGTTTTTGGGAAAGCTGCAAAAGGCAGGCCTCAGAGACAGCAGGACTGTGATTAGAGCTAAGCAGTAGCCATGAGATTGGTCAGCAGAAAAATTATTTAAAAAGTTTTTATTTAAAAATTATTTAAAAAGAAAAGCAAGGACAAATAGAACAATGGTCTGTGTATTAACAATTGTCTAGAAAAACTCTCTAAGCTACAGAAGAGTTTTTCTAGCAAGATATTAGGAAGTTTGAAGCTTAATAATGGAGCTCTGTGCATTGTGTTTTAAGGCTCACAAGCAGGTATTGTATTCAAAATAAGCAAGCATTGTTTTAACCAAAGGTACCTGTGCTTATCATGGTTGGATAGAACTACTGTCAATATGCTTTTGCTTTGTGGGATTGGTCAAAAAACTTTTAAAGTAAGTTGTTACATTGAGTTCTTCGTCTGCTGCAGCTCAAGGACACGAGCTGCTGGCATCTTCCCATTCTCATAACCATGTAATGGGACTGATGCTGGAAAATAAAACAGCTCAAGGCACGTTCCACAGCAGCCCTGTCCCATTTGTGATTTGTACATAGCCCCCAGCTCTCTCTATACAAGACAGACTGTGCAAAGTACTTTATGCTATGAATTTCATGAATTGCTCTCAAAAAGAACCAAAACCCCTGTCTTAAGGCTCTTTCATAACAACATGTACACACATCTCAAAGAAAGACCTCCAGTACTTGACCAGAATCATGAATCTAAAATTATTGAAGGGCCATACCCTCTCATTATGTGGGGGAGACGATATGCTTGTGTTTCTACAGGTACAGGACCCTGGTGGATTCCCAGAAGATTTCTCAGTAGACCACAGATCTGAAGATGACCCCTCGAATGAACACAAAGTCAGCTCCCTCTCCCAGCATGCCTCAGAAGCAGCTTTCTCTTGGAGATGAAGAAAAAAGAAATTCATACATCCAAACATTGTGGCAAGGACACTCTTTGCACGTAGATACATCCCACTGATAACATCCATGTTAATCTCAAGTGCAGACACACCCCTGCCTTTTCCACCATCCCTCTACCAGTGACCCTTTATCCCTGCCCCCTCCCTCTTTCCCCTCTTGAAACTGCTCCTTTTTCCCTCCCTCAAACTTCCCTTAAAAAAGAGAAGGGTGTGATTGGGAGGAGTTGGGAAGAACTATAGGGGGAACTTAAAAATATTTAAGAATGTCTTAAAATAAGTCAACTAATGTGTGTTTTTACCATACACAAGTGAAAACTACCCAGTGGGAAAGAAGAAATATGATTCTTTCTGTCACACCCTCCAGGGCACCCCACAGCAGTACCAGTGCCATCGTTGTCACTGTCTTTATCAGCGCCCTCATCTGTATCAAGGTGACCACCGGCTGGATCATCCCTCAGCCAAAACAAAACATCTGGGTCACTTTGGCAAAGCCATTAAAGCAAGACAATCTTTGCATGGCCATTGGAAGCGTAGACGGTCCGCTCTTAACATGCCTGGTGGGAGTCCCCCTGTCACCAAACGACCGCCCGTATGTAGGTAAGAAACCCAACCCCATGGACACGTGGGACGAGTGGATGAAGATCCTCCCACACCATGTCTCCACAGGACTTGCTTTTCCAGGCCCAGGATGGTGTTCTGGGCAGTGGTGTGAGGCACAGGGTCGGTCTCCAGCCATCCCGTGGTGGCTTCCACCATGGTCAGCACGTAGCGCTTGCCCTGGCGTGTCTGGGGCAGTGGGATGGAGTCAATCTGCCAGGCCTCCCCATACTTGTACTTGGACCCCCGCCCACCGTACCACAGGGGCTTCACCTGCTGGGCCTGCTTGATGGCAGCACA